CTTGTTAGACCGTGAAAAGGGAAGAAATAGAGGTCAGAGCTCTGAGGAAGGGGATTTAGGCAAAAGCTTCGCAAGGTTTCTAAGAATCAAAGGAGAAGGTTTAGAGTCAGCAACTAAGGTATGAGGAGTATTGCCTTCATTGTTTTCAATATGTGATTTCAATGTATTTAAAGTTGATTTAAGGGTTTAAAGGGCTTAAGGCTGATTTTGAGATAAAGGAAATTAGGCCTTCGTGGCCAAAATCTATATTTGAGCTTTTTACCATAGGGATTTGAACTGATGATCTGATAGGATTGAGGTCGATTTGGGTTTGAGGAAAAGTAGGCCTTCATGGCCAAAATCTGTTGTTAAGGTTTCAACCCTGTAGGGTAATTAGATTGTGAGAAACTCTAATGACCGTGGTGTATTTGTAAGGAAATTATGGGAATTAGGGCGTGAATATGATACGGAGTTGACCTAATAAGTCATAGATTTTGTGCCTTATCGGTGTAATACCTTAGGAATGATTTAGGGATGTTTGAGGGGCATTGGGGAAGGAAATCGTTGGAATTTTTGGTTGGTTTTGGTTCTAATGCATAATAGTGTTTTGTTGTAATCGCGTGTTCGCACAGCGAACTTGCTAGCGAACATAGCAGAGTTTCACGAATGCCGATTTTATATAGTGATGCCTTGATGTTTTGATGTTGTGATTTCTTTGATGAGTTAATATGAGTATGACTGTAAATTCTATGTGATTTTAACATGATTATATGATGATTCCTATGATGTAATGATTGATGAACTATGATGATATTTCTATGAGTTTTGATGATTCTATGCTGACATGATGTATGATGACGATTTTGATGATGATGATTTTGATGAATGATGATGCAACTATGATGTTATTATGAGGATGATTATTGACGTGTGCATCATGCATTCATGTGCATCCGGACTTCGGTTCAGGACCTTGATTTCTTTGGCTTCAGTCCCATTGTGCGGATGTGAAGTATTTTGATGTGCTCCGGTTCTCGAGTAGAATCGATCCTATTGATGGGGATCTATGGAGGGTTGATGGCCCAGTGTTCATCGAGTTGTAATGATTGGTACCACATGCATGTGTCTTATTGCATTTTCATTTATGAGATAATTTTGCGTAATTTATGATATTATGACCTTTGATGTTCCTTGATGATTATGATGATGTTGAATATGAAAATGACGCCATTTTATATATTGAATTCCTATATTGATTATTATGAATCGTTTTACTCAACCTTCCTGTTTCAATGTTTCCTCCATGTGGGTAACGTGCAGATGACCATGTTTAGTCGTGGATGCCTTCGAGGATCTTTTTGGAGTTTTGAGTTGTTGGTCATTTTGGTTAACTTAGAAGGTCTTGCTCTGATAGTGTAACATCGAGTTGGGTTCTTTGAGTTAAACCATGTTTTATTTGATTGTTGTTATTTTGATTATGTTTCCGTGCAAGAAAAACTTTGGATTATGCCTTTTTGAGTTCCGCTGCCTTTTGAGCCGTTTTTGATATCTTTTGGGGAAACCCGTTGTTTACGGAGCCTTGAACTATATTTGATTTATTGGGAAATGTACGCCCTTTGGGGTGATTTTTATTGAGTTTAATATTTTACTCTGATAAATGTGAATATTTTGCCATTTAATTTGTGGGGTAGAAAAAGGTGTTATAGCTTCTCCATTAACAACAATTTTCTACTCTTCCTTGCAGTTGAAGAAGTCGTTTTAGTATTACATGACATAACTAAAGGTTCCTTCAAATAGGTGTTGGGAAATGAAAGTCAGGAAGTCTTCAATGTCCTCAATGTGGAACGTACATTTTAGGATTCATAGCATACATCCTGTTAAGATTGGAAACCACGACATTGAAGGAAAAATTAGAAATAAGGTAACTAACCAAGGTTGGTGAGAGAAGTTGAATGCAATGCTATTTTTACCAAGAAACATGGTAAAATGAAAAACCATACTACCTGGAAGAAATTACAGTTGAAGAGTACTTGGGACTTGTTTTGTTCAAAACCTTGTTCTGTTGTGAACACTAATTCGAAAAGTTGAATGGGAAAAATAAAATAACCAAAATGGAAAAAATAATGATGTGTCTCCACACTAACATGCCAATACAAAATTATGTGAAAGGCATGTTAGAGATGTAGTTGTAAGGCAGATGTGTATTGTAACATTATTAAATTGGAAATGTGAGTAGTACACAAAAGGGAGCACATGGGTTATAGTTGACATATCTACATAAAGTTTGCAGTAGTGCAATGATGATAAACGATATTGACAGGTTTTTTAAAGATTTTTACCAAGAAAATATATAAACTCGGTTTTACTCAAGTATAACCTTAAGAGTAGTATTGGTTATAAATTATTTTGTATTTCTCTAAGGGGATTTCCAAAATGATGTAACAGTGTATATCATGCATCAAAAAATATGTCAAATGTTTTGTTGGTCTTGTTTAAAGCATTGTTTTGGTAAGATAAGTTATGAATTTATTCAAGGCTAAATGTTGTGGTTGTATTTTTTAAAGTAGTTTTTTTTGTTTTCTCCATGGGGATAGCCACTATAGGAAGAATAAAATAAATTTGCTGCAACAATATTGAATATGAGTCTGGAAGTTTGTCTTAAAGTAAAAGCCATAGTTGGACTCTGCCATAACAGTATATACGTTAGCATCTGTAGTTGTGATAGCCCTTATAGAATTATCATGATAATAGGAGACAACCAAATTATACACAAAGTGACTTCATAATGTACCATATAGATTTTGAAGTAATATTAGATAACATTGGGGACATTGTCATTGACATTCCATTCTAAAGCTAATGCCATAGTTTTAAGAATTATCCAAAATAACACCCATCATTCTATGTGGTAAGCCCATAATATAACCAAAATAAATATCTTAAATACAACATAATATCATACATGATACTTTTCCCAAAATATATAGTTGGCAGTTATGTTGATCCAGTTCCAAAACAAAATTAGTTTGTCGCACGACAGCAGTAGATTTAGACCAATGCCTTTTTACTGCGCTTGATAAGTTTATTCACTTTAGTTGATGAAAGGTCCCCATCATTAAGAGTTTTGTTGGAGAAATCAGTCGAGGCATCAGGAGACATCCTCTTCACATTAACTATAGGGATGACAGGATCAGGAGCGTGTGCAAAACTTATTTCACTATCCTACACAACGAAACAAAAGAGCTCCTAGTTAATATGACATGTTGGTTTGCAAGATTCAATAATAAACGATGATTATAAGTGTTTAAATACCGTGATTGGATTCGGGTTTTCAAACAGTGAATCCTCGTCGACACTCTCCATCACCTATAGCAAAAAAAACAAATAAGTGTGTACTGCTGGTGGAAAGTTCGAAAACTTAGAAAACGTAGTTATGATTCTTGATTTACTAAATTAGTTGGATAAAATATGTAGACAAAGGAGATAAAAAAACCTGGACTGAATGAGAAGTGGTATCAACAACAGATGTTAGCTGAAAGTTATAAACATCATCAACAGTTACGACATAAGCTGAGTGAACTGTAATTGTAACAACAAAACAATGATAGGGTAGTTACCTGATCATTTCCAAGTGATCCCTCAAGTTGTTTAATTAGTTGTTCATCTTTAAGGAACTGGACGACAGGGCAACTCTTTCATCTGGAACACCACTTAACCTTGAAAGCACACTTTAAGCCCAACATTGCATCCAAGGCCAGCGGAAATTCTAGGGGGTCCATGAGTCCATCCTACATTGAAAATGGAAAATGTTAGTGGGAATAATAATTTCATCACCATATTAACATGCTGAAACGGGTTATTAATGGACACAATTTAGGGTAGCCTATGCAAACCTCCATCATGGTTGCATGTAATTGGCCAGCAGACGTCTTCAAAAGCTCGGTGGCTTCGTGGTCCCAAAACATGAAGTTCCCACAACAGCCATTATGTTTGACTTTAACCTCAATTTTATACCTACAACTCATAAACCATCAGAGACAAATTAAATTTATAATAAAGATGATATATCAAAAAAAAGATAGGTGCACCTCCAGATCTTAGCTTCAGTTCGGTGTCTATCCCTGCAAAAAAAGGTGGTTTGTCACCCTTAGAAACAATTGAACATTGATGGCATGCTCTGTAGTACCAATCGTTAGGCGATGTAATGAGCTTGTCGGTGGTTGCGACAGTAACGCATAAAGTTGTCTGCACATTAGAATTTGACAACCCTATTATAACATCCATGTTTTGTAACATTAAGTAACACATATAAAATCAAATTGGAATTAACTTACTTAATTTGATGATATCCTGTAATGGTAGGTGGATAGCTTTGGCCATAAACTTCTCGGTCGGGGATAAGTTAGAACCGGAAGATTGTTGTGACCAAGAACAGTTTTGGATGCCAGATGATGAAGATATTCCCATTTTGAAGTCTGTAGGTAACTTGTATTTGGCACAAAGTCATAACAGATAAGAAATCAGTTATGATCCGTTTAAAAAATTGAAAATTTGTTGAAATTATCAGGGTGCGACTTTTTCAAAAAATGTTAGATGTCTGGCATATCCTCATTGATATGAGTTTTGGTGATGTTGTAGGTGTTTGTAATGGCCAGTGGATATTTCCCTACAAAATACATATAATAGAGTGATCAGCATTTTACAAAATAATGGATGTTAACAACATTAAGTCGACCAGTTTAAATCTTTTTGATGTCTTTGCTAACCTTCTTCGTTAACCTTTGCATACTTCATGAGAATAATAATTGGTGTTGAGAAATCAAGTTATTTTTGTTTGTATTCAAAGAACTCCATAGCGTACAATGCAAGGTGTTGTCGCTATTGCACGAAAATGAAAACAGTCAGAATATAATGAAACCAATTGTAGAAAAGGACGTACAAATGTATTAGATAAGATGTGGTTAACCGACATACCTTAAATCTCTCAATACCAAGTTTACTTGAGGTTTCTTGCCCCAAAACTAGGACCGGGAGTATCTAATTTTATCAACCACACCTATAACATCTATAAAAAAAGAAGCAACAATGTTTATTGAATAAATATCCAAAGTAAGAAGGCAACAAGGATTTAAACTGTAATAAAATATACCTATTAGGAGATTCTTCGGCCATTTTCCCGCGACGATGTCTGCATATGGGGTAAGGTTAATCACCTTATTAGGGATGTCATGTTTACCAGTATCTCTAATTCTTATCCCACCAGTGAACTTCAAAAGATATTTGTGGGATGTGGGTTTGAAAATCAAATCATTTAGTTGTACTTGGAAGTTCGACATCGTGCAAGTCACATTAACAGATAAAGCCGAATCAAATGTTTGTCTAAATATTGTTGGAACAACAACATGGATGTCATGGCCCTAAGATGTGTACAACAATATTCAACAGTTAAACACAAACCTACTCAAGCATTAAACATATTGAATCCTTTAAAAAACAAAAAACGGAACCATAAGCAAAACCGAACCACGCCATTCAAAGGAATTCAATGAAAACACACAAAACACCTTATTCGGTTACAAAATAAGACTATGTCCAACAGACCTTCACGAACATGGTTGTAACATCATTAAGTATTTAGCTGAAGTTCCAATAAATATCCAAAATGAAAAACATGTCCATCAAAACATGAGCATCAGAAAAACGTAACCAAACTATTTAAACGATTTCACTCAAAACACACAAAACATCTTTGTGTGTTACATTACAAAACTATTTCCAACAGAGCTTTTTAAACATGGTTGTAACACATGAGCAGTATTTAGTTGAAGTAAAAATAAATGGAAACTCACTTGTTTGTCTATAACTACCATCTCAAAATGCTCCTTCGTAGTGGTGATAACCTTCCATTTGTGATGTATTTTGACAGCAAGCTTCCATAAATCCTTGCGATCAGTGATGTCGTTCATCATTTCAAATAGCCTCGCCATTTTGTGAATGTTGAGCAATAACAGGAGATGAAATCAGTGAGAGAGGAGAACAAACAAACCAAGGAAGAAGAATAAGAGTGGTACAGAAGAGAGATAAAGGAGCCATAACTTGAATAGGGTGTAATGTGATTAAGTAGACATGTTTGCAAATCGGTTCCCAATACAGGCGCACAATAATTCTGCAGAGCCTTCAAACGATTTCAACTTATTGTTTCAACTATTGGTTCAGTCTTAGCTCGGCTTAGGGTTATAGTTTGGCATATGTCATGTGGAAAAAAAGATACAGTGTGAAAACCAAATATGTCGTTCCATAATTATATTTAGGGTGTATAAAGACTCAAATTGACCTCATTTTGGTGACGTGGTGGAAGATTAAAAAGGGGTAAGAAAGTTATATCATAGGATATATCTTTTCTTATATGGTAGATATAACAAATTTGTTCCTACGAGAATTTGTTGTTGAGTAATGATTTTATTTCTGAGGTGGTTAGCTAAACAAGTAGAAAAATAGTCAGTTTAACTTTCCTTGAAAAGAAAAATAATAATAAAACTTTAGAATAATTTGCTTCTCACAATGATAATCATACATTTTTATTATTCTGATTTTGATACATGTATAAATTGTTCTCTCTGGTAACATAAGTCTATTTTCAGAGTAAAAAAATCATACTTTAGACTAATGAGTTATGTATTTTTATGGTTGAAACTTGGCATATAAAAAGCCCATTAAAAGCAAGTGTTCTAAAATAGTATCAGGATGGTTTAAATTATTTTCAAATATTAATCATCTTATTTAATTCGGTATGTTAAATAATCAAACTTCTCATTTTGATCTTTCACATGATTGTCGATGATTATGTAGTTACTCATTTACAAGAGTTCAATATATCAGACAATTGGACTTCTCCTTTCGGTTCTTAACTCAATTATCTAAAATTTTGTAAATTGTGCACTTACAAGAGTGAAATTCTTTAAAACTAGTGATAATAAACAAATTAGTAAATAAAAGATAGAATTATATAAAATAAGAAATAAAAATAAACTTAAAAAATCCTGATATTATTAGTGAAACATAGCAAGAACAAGAACAAAAAATGAAAGAAGAATATGTTTTGAACTTCTACAAATTTAAAACAATGAAAAGATCATTAGATGAAGATGAGACGATTCATTCTAAAGAACTTTGTATCTTATTTATCACATAGGGGTTATAAGTGGCTCATGATTCCATGGTGATTGCATTAAGTGTAGGCATGGAAAAATAACTCATACCCACGGGTATCCACCTAAATTCACCCCGAAATTGACGGAGAAAACCCGCTTTGACTGAGTTTGGGTTCGAATTTGGGTTTTCTCTAATTTAAAAATATGGGGACGAGTCGGGTAATGGAGACACTAGTACCCACCCCAAATCTACTTGTTTATTTCATTATGTACATTATTATTTAGTTTAGTTAATTTGGAATATTAAATATGTGGTTAATATTTTGATATTTTGATTTGTATTAATTATTTAAAATACTTGAAATGTATGTATGAAATTTTTTGAGATTGTTTTATTTTATTATTTGTAATATAATTTGATTTTGTAAAAAAATAAATATTTTAATTAAAAAATTGATTATACTAAATGGATGGTGGCGGGGCGGGGATACTCGAATCCGTTTAGGACGAGTTTGGGTTTTAATTCTCCATCCCTGTTTGTGTTCGGGGCAGGGAACAGAGATTGTTTGGGGATTTGAATTTGGGTTTGGGGGAGGTATAAATTTTCCCCGACCCACCCTGTTGCCATGCCTAATTAAGCGGCATTAAATCCAACATTTTTTCATGTTGGTGTAACACAATCATGTTGTCTAACACAGATTGAGCGTATTACCTACTAGTTTTGGTGTTTTTATCCTAACTTTAGAAATTCTTCATATTTTTTCATACAAGAAACATAGGTGTGTTAAATCAACATTGCCTAGTTGTATTACTTATTGTTTTTCTCTTTTTCTATTTTTTATAAGCTTGACCCTTTTAATCTAGTAGTTTTGCCATACTCTTTATTTAGTATGTATTATATTTTTAAAATGCCTAAAATCAAGTTTTGTTTTTCAAAACAAAAAACACAAAATATGGTTTTAAAAACTCCTACAATCAAACTAAACCATTTAAATTATTGTAAAATTTAGAGGCTAAGACACATTTATTTTACATGACTTCAATATCAAATATGTATAACAGAACAATTTAGTCTTTATATCAAAACTAAAATCTCTAACACATAATTCATCTTCTTCCTCCTTATACCTTCCCCCTATCTTCTTTTTCTATGAAGCTTTTGGAAACCAAGACAGGTAAGACTCAGTTTAAGGTAGAGGTTACTACTATGGAAACTAGTAGTAGTGAGGGAACAATTACAAGCCTCTAAATATCATTTGACTCGTGATAAGATAAGGAGGAAGATTGTACCATATCAAAGGGAAAATTATACAGACCTTTAGTGTTATGCTTCAAATGTGGCTAAAGAGTTGTAAAAATCAGAAGAAAAAAAAGACCTTAAAAGAGACATTAGAAAGCAGGTGGAGTCAAATATGGTTGAAAAATCATACTTGTTAGATAAATAAAGTAGGAAAAGGTGGTTGGAAGCACGTAAATGCAAGTGGATAAATCATGGTTGAAGTGTTGCTTGAAATTTATCAACATTGTTGTATAGTGATTCAACATGGTAGATAGTAGCAAGGTGGTTTATGGGTAAATTAACATCATCATGGTTTCAAGTCAACGGGGACATTATTGAACTATGCCTTAAAACCTTAAGTTATGAAGAGAAATAAAATATATTTCGAGATTCCAGAAACCATAAATTCATAAATGTAGACAGGATGTTAACAGAAAGCGTCGAAACTGTGGTTAGAGGGTTCGGCGGGGGTGGTCAGCGACAGAGAAAGACCGCCACTAGAAATTATAAATTGGCGAAAGTTGGTAGCAAAGCTTTTATGAACAGTTGGTCTACAGAGGCAGCTTTTCTAGGCAAAGGTTCAGGTTTTCAGTCATCATGTTTGGTTTTCTTGATTTGTGTGTTATGAGCTTCTTCATTTTGGTGACTGGATCCTTTCATTAATGAGTTGTGTTTTGGGATTGTTATGGATCAATTGGGTTTCAGTAGTTATAAACATGTATCTCTTACATTCTTATCTTCTCAACCTTTAGAACTTTAGAGTTGGAGAGAGAGAGAGAGAGAGAGAGAGAGAGAGAGAGAGAGAGAGAGAGAGAGAGAGAGAGAGAGAGAGAGAGAGAAGAGTTTGGGAATCTAAATGATAATCTTAGAGAGGCAAAGGAAAATTCCTAAGAATGTGTTCTTTGAATTTTGGAAACCCTTCGAGATATTTAGGAGGATTGTAAATACTTCTTAACACTCTGGACTTGTGTGATTCATATACATAGAGTTGAAGAGATTGAGAAACACTTGGGTATAAAGTAGGTTTTATTCTTGGGAACATGGGTGACTATTTTCTTGTAACTTATTTGTTATTTTTTGTAAAAAATACTTGGAAGTATATTGAATCAGAGAGTTGCTATCTTCCTCGGAGTAGATCATATGATCAAAATGGGAAACAAGTGAAAGTGATGTCTTATTTTCTTTACTTTATCTTTTTTTGTCAAGTTAAAATGATGTCTTATTGCACATATATTTATTTTTACTAAATGACATTTATTTTGGTTGTCATTGTCCTTTGTCTTCACACATTAAATTCCATGGTGTGTTTTAACTCTGAATAATTCTCCAGAAGTGCTTTGAATTATTATATCAATTTTCAAAAATATATAGAAAAAAAAGTTTTTATTAAATAATAAAATAAACATTTAACACAAAATTCATTTTATAGATTTTTCTATTAACCATTTTAAAAATAATTTAAATATATTTTTAAAGCCTTTATATAATATAAACTTTTAAGTAAACTAGTAATTTAACTTATTTTAAACAAAGTTAAGTTTAGACTTAAAATAAAGATTATGACAAATATGAATGACAATAATCATGGTTTAGACAGGATACTCTAGTATCGGTCTACATATCAACAGTCTCCCTATTAAGAAGGAACATAGACTTGTTTGCCTATTTTCCCTATAACGTACAAAGAATATATGCAAGAGTGGCCAACCATTACCTTGCCATTGATTTTACAGTAAAATTAGTGTCTCATAGAAAACACAAGGTGTGTAAGGAGAAGAGAACGACCATTGATGAAGAAGTTCAAAACAAAATATTATAAATGAGTTACAAGAAAATAGTTACATAAGTTTCCAAGAACAAGCCATATTTTTTTATCTAAGTGTTTCCTAATATCTCAAACTTTCCATATAAAAGTTACACAAGCTCAGGGTGTTTATAAGTGTTTTTCAATCCCTTTAGATTTCCTCAAAGTTTTCCCTCAACCCTTCCCTCTCTAAGTTTTCCCTTACTAGGAATGTCATCTCTTTCCCGTGTCTTCAACTGTAAAATTATAAAGGTTGTGATAACGAGAATGCAAGGGATACATATTTATAACTACTGAAATCTAGTGGAATATAACTAAAGGAATAAAAAAATTGTATTTCCTTTATATCTCAGTAAATAATATATGAAAGATATTTACATAATACAAGGGACATACCAATAAGCATAATGTGGCCTAAGAATCAGGGAAATTATTCTACCTATAATTGCTAATTCTAAATATAGTAAAGATAGAATAAGACAATTAATTACTATAATGAATGTTATGAGTTGTACAACACATAATTTGTTGATTTTATACTAATCTCTCTAATAACTTTCAACACTCCCTCTCAAGTTGGCATGAGTATGTAATTCATTGCAAGCTTGATCACCATATCATTAACTAATCTCTTTGGAAGACTCTTGATGAGAACATCTTCTACTTGACTTGTGGTAGGTGCATATGACATACAAATTTCACCAATATCAATTTTTTCTTTAATGAAGTACTTGTCCACTTTAATATGTGTCC